GGCTGTATACATTACAGTGGTATATTTATACTTATTCATACCCATATTTTTTAAATCTGTATGTGTAAATCTGTGTCTAGGTGTGTGACTTCCATTTTTATGAAAAAAAATGTCAGGTTGTCTCTGAGAAATTATGTGCAGATCATATATAAAAATAATAATTATTTTCTCTAAAAAAAAACAGTTGCTGTTGGTTAAATGCAAACGCATCTTAGTATGTTAGTCTGCTAACATTTGCTAATTAGCACTGAACACAACTGCAGCTGAGGATGATGGGAGTGGTATTAGTTTTTGGTATTGGGTTATAGTAGCATAGTAAGTATTGGACAAATTAAACCTTTAACCTGATTATGTCACGAGAGGAAACGTCACCAAAGTTATCACTCTGTCGGGGCCACGAATGGTTGTATCGAATCTCACTGCAAATGGGGACGATGAATGTCTCTGACAAAATGGTACAGAAAATCATCCATACACATAGTAATAGTTGACAAGACATGTCACTAAAACCTAAAAATGTCAACCTGTTGGGAGTGTGAGAGGGAAAGTCACAGGGTCACAAAAGTCTGTAGGATTCATCCTCTAGGAACCAGGAATGGCAGTGCAGAATTTCATCTTAATCCATCCAATAATTGTTCTTATTTTTCAGTATCAATCAAATTGGTGGACCGACCAGCCGACAACTCGATATTGACTATGGACTGACATTGCTATCACTGAACTAAGCTGCTAGTATGGCTACATATTATTGCTGTGGTTAACGTAACCTAAGAGAGAAGCCCACTAAGTCAAATTCCCTGTGTGTGCAAACCCACATCAGTGATTTTGTCATCATCATGTTTATCAATCCATACTGTACATGCAAATGTGCCTGTTATGTCTGTGTACGTGTCAGTGGGTGCGTAGGTGTGTGTTTTCATGTGTGAACAGAAAGTGCATCAACCCGTCAACCAAAACAGAAGCCTCAGCATTTTCCTAAGCTTGAAATTTGTCACCCTCAAGAAAAAGCCTCAGTCTGGTTCCAGATGAGCCCATCCGACTACCTGTGTCAGCAATATTTCAGCTTGTTTGCAGCGTGTGGCTGCTCATATTTGGATCATTTGACCTGGAGAAGAGAGAAAACACAAGCGCCTCTGTGCTGACCACCCCCGTCCGCTCTGAGAGGTCTTTCAGGTGGACTCTTCGCTGTGTAATGCTTCTAGTTGTGAATCAAGTCTGCACTCACAGAGACTGTAAATGAGCTGAAACAAACAAGGGATGGTTTGGGTGTGTTGAGAAAGGCACACCGATAAATGCAGAAATCCAAAAACAGATGGAACAAATTTGTGTTAACATGACTCTTAAGTCAACTCAAATTAACTCAAAAAACAAATTAGCCCAATTCTTCATTTTTGTGAGAACAAAGGGGGCATTCATGTTCGAACTAGCATGCTATATTTAATAAACTGGTGAGCAATAGGATTATTGATTTTGTGAGTCAGCTCAACACTGTAACGGTGCACACAATTTTTTTACGACCCAGACTGTGACAACAGACTACCTGTCTGTATCTAGAGACTCATTGTGTGCCTTAATATATAGTTAGCCTAACATTTAAAGCCTATAAACTCAGCACTTTTAACAGCCTAGGTGCAATTTCAGGTCAATGACACTATAACATACTGGAGGTTTTTTTTGCTGCTGCCACAGAGTACAAGAGTGGTTCAGTTATTCAAGCTCCACAGGAGAGAATAGCCTCTTGTACTGACTTTGTTGCTAGAGTGACAGTATGTATCAAATGGCAAACTGGAGGAATACTTGTTATTCTTCATATGTAAACTGTATTTATTTGTAAAAATCATATGTTTACAAATAAATCTACAGTTCAGTAATAAGATATCCATCTAAAACCAGAATTTACATTTCATTGGATTTGTTCACAATGCAGCAAAGTTATTTAAAGTCGATGCTTACACCCTGCAATGCAAAAGTGTGTCATGGAGAAACCAAACATATTGATGATTTTGCTGTTCCCTACCAGTGATGGTGATGATGTTAAGTTTATTCTGAGGGTGGCGATAGATGTGTAAATGGATCATCACAACCAAAAGGTCTCATCACCTGAGGAGGATGAATGTGCTTAGTAAATGTCATCTGAAAGACCCCTATATTTTTTTTATATATTTTTGTGTACAAGTGAAAATTTTGCCCCGATGGCTGTGCTGGAGGGAACATGAGGAGCTCAGAGAGAAAAACAAGTGTTCAACCTCTGCAGATCATGAATATCCGCAATAAATCTCCGCAGATCAAAGAGTGGGAAGACCCATGGGCAAACAGACCAATGTTGCCACCTCACGCCTTGACACTAATGGACTCCAGTGGTAAGAGTGTCAGTAGTAAACTGTCAACTCCTCAGTTCTAAATTTCATATTTTAAGTTGTTCCTCTTTGTGCTTTGACTGATAATGGCAGTGTCCTCTTAGAGGTAAATGTTAATTACGCACTTTAACATGCTTTAACATTGTCAAGAGATGAGCAGAGCTGTTGATGAGCTTACCCAAAATAGTCCAACAAAAAAGTAAACTCAACTGAACTAATGGGTAATGTAGATATGTGAAGTCAGTTGTGAGCCACAGTTGGCATTATAGTTTATCTCCTGACAAATTGGGTTACATTCTTAGCCATAATCTAATTGCTGTGATCCTAACAGAGGAATCAGTATGTGTAAGGATGAATAACTCAGTAATTCTTTAGTGGTTCTTCTACAGTGTAAAAAATGGCTATGGTCTTGTAGACAGCCTAGATACTGTTCCTTTGTCTGACATTTACTTTTTCTTTCATAGGCTATGGAGCAACTGAAGGGTTTGGCTCACCAATAGCCTTGGCTGTCTTTACCATGAGAGAGACAAACGCATACTCAAAAATCAAGACAGGATTGTCTGAGATAACAGCAATAAGTGAGTTCCTTTGTGGTTATTAGAAGGATTTTCCATGTAACAAAAGTATCAATGACCGAGAGAGTCACCCATTGGTACCTGGAGTTTGTCACTTGCTGCTTAGAATTTTCTTTTAATCATCTTTCTAGTGACTCAAAGAGCGCCATTTGGAATCCTCATGACTGCTGGCTTGCAAAGAGGGAAACACTTCTTGCTCTTCAGTTTCTCCTGTTGAAATACAGCTTTCCAGTGGAGCTGCTCTGCTGCCAACAATTAGAAATCTGTGGGCGGACAGGCTATGTACAGTACAGCTATGAATGTCCACCAGAATGTTGATTAAAAAAGAGCAAAAGCTACAACATAAACCTATAAAATAGATGTTTGTAGGTGGCATGGTATAAAAATGTTCTAACTTTATGTGCTGCTCTTTCAAATATGTTCCCATGCAACAACTGATTGACATGAATGATGGTGAGTAAACCTGATGTTTCTATTTAATCTGTGTGCAGCTGCTGAATAAACATTGAGTCTGCAAATAAGCACAAAATTAGAGCAAATCGGTTGTTAATACATTTTCGTTTGAAGATGTAGACTGTAAGCGTGCGTCAATGAGTGCAGCGAGCACACAGCCAGTATTTACACCTCTGAATAGAGTTTGGTGGGAGACGAACGGGAGACACGCCTTTCCTCAACCTCAGGCCAACATTAGCATGTTTAACTTTAAACTGAATGCACACAGACACAAGCGGCAGGCACATGTGGCAGTATATATACAAACTGAAACAGGCACACACATGCACACCAACACACGCAGTTACACAATCATATATCGTGATTTTTGCCTACTTTGCAAACAAGTCCTCATAATTACATACACTTCATGAGATTTTTGAGCATATACACTTTATATTGTGTAACATAATTAGACAAATTTGCAGTTGTTTGTTTTTTTACTGCATTTACGGCACCTCTTTCCTTTGACACATAAAATCCAATGTTATAGGTAGAGAACACCTTTATTCATTAAGGATATTTTCATAATGTTATTTATCTTAAGTTATCACAACAGAGAATGCAACCATATCAATAAAAACTCAATTAATTTGCCAAGTGAACAATGACTACTATACTTTGTTTTGGTGACATTGGTGCAGAATAATTAGCCATTTGGCAGCTAGCAGGACTTGCTCTAACACAGCCAGGTAAAATTGTTGTTGCTCATTAATATCATTGCTGCAATTACAATCTCCCCCTAATACAAATTCGGTTAAAATCATATGAATGTAAGAGGAATTAGTTTAAGACTCTATCTAAAGATCTACCACCACAGCCACAGGCTGTAAATGCTACTGCAGCAGACATGTCATTGATAGATTTGAAAGCATCTAATACTGGGATGTATAATGAGCACATACTGCAAGATGCTTCTGACCTTCTGTCTACTATAACTGCAACTGAAATACTAGTGAGTGTTTCTGCAAATGTCCTTGTGCTTAAGATCAAAAAATGGCAAGTTCGTTGTGGTAATGAGAGTGCTGATGAATGAAATGAAATGAGAAGTGTTGGTTTTGATTACGCATGTACTGTAAGTGCTGGACAACTGGACAGAGCAAAGACCAAGCCTAAACCATATTTGTAAATGTGCGTTAAGGAGAAATCTAGTTCATGTCACAAGCATCTAATTGTATAAGTTTATTGGTTTTACTGATGCTAAATCATAAATACATTATATTTCTCAACATGCATATCTACCAAGAACTTTTGGAACTACCTTTGTCTATTACCTTTATAGTCTATTTGTTTTGAGTGTATAGCAGCATCAACCTTCATTCAAACCAATTTCACTAATAACTGCAGAAGGACTGAGATAACCTGAAATCAAGCGGGAGCAGGAAATATCCCTTTTTTTAGTTATTTTGAAGAATTTGTCTGATTCTGTGCTTCAGCTTTGATATTCAAGGCTGTTTGAATGACCTCACCAACTGGCAGGAGACCACATCGCACTCTCTCTCTTTCCCGCCCTCTCTCTTTCCAACATCTAAATGTGTGGTAGAGTTTGAATAAAGCTTCTTTCTGCTCTCCTACACTGGCAGGAGCAAGAGGCCCCTGGAGTCACTGGCAGCACTTGGAGCATCAACGGTACGTTTACAACTCACCACTGGAGTCCCTGATAAGGAATATTGTGAAGGGGTTTTAGGGAATATTTTGACACTTCTTCATCCTCTGCTTGGGGGACAGGTATTTGGTTGAGGTACTGTGCTCAGATGTCACAGGTAACTGTTTCAACAAGTTTCTTTTTCAATATCAAGGTAATTATAAGAAATACAAATCACATTTAACAAAACAGATAAGACTAAAAATTTGATTAGATCCTTAGTGTTAACTTTAAATCAGTTTGTGTGCTCATTATGCAGAGAGAGTTGTGAATTATTTGCTGCCTGGCATGGTAACTGCGTTTTGCTGAGTTGACTTTAGCGAGGTGTTAATGGAGTCAGCTTTTGCACTTTTTAACTTACAAGAGGAAACTGTTAGGAGGAAATTGTTAAAATTCAATGTCGAAAATGGAAAAGAATCATATTTATAAGGTCAGTTTGCATTCTGGATGGCTTCCCTGGATGGAGAGTGGCATGTATGAAATTGTATCACATTACTGAATGATCAAATTTACTCATTGTCTGAATTCATTATGTCTTAGTATACCAGTTGTCATTGTGGCGCTGTGTTGTAAATTGTCTCTTTTGCCAATGATTTGTGGTCTGAATTTTTATTGTATGTGACACCTTAAAACGAAGGAACCTCTACTTGTGATCCCTCATCTCTGGTTGCATATGTCTACCTTCTTAACCACTTTGATTGGAGAGCAATTTGTTTTCTTTTCAAATTAGCTTTTGAAAGGCCTGAACAGGTAAAATTATCCAGTAATTCACAAAAAGAGGAAAATCAAAAAAATATATTGTTGAGCAGAAATATGTTTTTCTGCATGGTCTGATATCCAGTCTGGGAACCACTGATGGCCGTATGTAGAATGAGATACTTCAATGTGCACACAAATATCCATCTAAATTAGAAGATGCAGTCTCACTGCTGATTGGTAAAACTGAAAACATCTTGACATTCTCATATAATCCATTTCCTAACTATAATCCAGACCTTGAGTCTTAAATGAAAAAAAGGGGGGGGGAATGTACTTTCTTTTGAATTCAAATTTTGAGTAGATCATTTGAGCAGCAGATGTGTTTGATTAGGGGGGAAACTATGTTACTTATTACATTATATTAAGCTACTCTCAAGAGTGACATCCTGTTACTATGGTAACATCAGTCTGTGTGAGCACACGTTGTGAATTGCAATTTTCAGATGTCGGAAACTAAAAAAAAAAGATTGACAAAGGGTCCAGTTAAAGCAAATCTCTTTACACTTTTTATCTTTAGGATAATCTGTAAATGACTAAAGTGACATTTGAGACATCAGTCTTGTTACAGACATGATAATTCAGGCATTCAACATATGCATGTCTACTTTTCTGTATGTTTCATTTACTTATTTGAATAATGTTCCCATTATGCTCAAGCTTTGATCATGGACCGCTGTGTTTGTAGGTATATGTATGTGTATAACTAATGCACCATGAGCACCTGGAATATGATTTTTTTTTTTTTTACATTCCAGCCTTTTCACTGTACAAGAGTCTGTGTGTGTTCTCAAACACAGGCCTTACAGTATGTGTCAATACTGACATATGCACACACACTCCCATGAGTTTTCTTTGCCAGGGGTATCGGACGTGCGCTGCCACACATCCCCTTGGTGATCTATGAGTGTTAGTCTGTGTTTCTGTGTGTATTCGTATCAATGTCAACTCTGTTCTTCTGCTGAGGGACTCTGGAGAGTTGGGGGAGAGTGAGTGGAGGCGGGAGGTGGTGGTGGTGGGGGGGCCTCCCCTGGATGCCCGCCTTGTGTTTACCTTGGCAGGGTCACATCCCCCGAGGCCCTGCCCCTGTCCGTTGCTGGAACAGACCAAGGCCTTATTGCCCTCCACCTCAGCTGGGAGCAGAACATACCACAGCGACCGAACAGGGGAGCAGCAGCCACCCCACCAACTGAATGGGCACACTGTGGAGAGAGGGCTGACCTGGCCTGGTGTGGCTTGCTCACAAACGCTAGTGCACATTATAAGGTTGCCTCAGTTTAAATGAAGCATTTAAAGAGAGCTGAGGATCTGCTCAGTGACTCAATAATGAGTCAAGGTTTTGGTTGGCTTAGTCAGAGAAATGGGCAAAGGTGGCATTCTCTGGCATTGTCTCTGTTAATGTATTGGAGAGTATGAGCACAGTTCAATTGCTAGCTGGTCATTGCTGTCTTTATCAATTTTGTGAGATCCACCTTAACTGTGACATTTGGCATTGTAATTTCATGTAAAATACTATATGACTCAGTGCTTTTCGGTAAAAGGACAGTCAGAAAAATACAGCTCTAATGAATTGGATGAGGGACGAAACGTCTTCTAGTATCTTCAACCAAGTCCAGTTGCATTTTTATTTATAGATGTCCCCTTTATCTACTTTATTTTTTTTACAAGTAGTTGTAGTAAAGTAACTTAATACCAGGCTCATTGCCCAGTTTCACCACTGATGGGTATGGTCAGAAATGTGCTCCATTGTACCTGTAACCACACCCAACAGTGATGTCACATTGTACTGCCTCACTCTGGAGTACACTTTACATCACTGCAGAAAGGTGAGATGTAAAACCGCTGGGTGTCAGCAAAACATTGTTTTCAGTTGCTGTTAAGTTCCTTTTTATTGGATATATACTTTTTTGACTGTTTTATACATTGTTGGAGGCAGTGTGATATTATGGAAAGATACAAGGTTGATTTATTTGATTTGAGTTTGTAATAATATTGAAGCAAAAAAACAGTTGCCATGCAGCCGTAATGAAAAAAAAAATGTATAAAAAAAGTAAATTACACCCAGGTTTGGTGTGTATATACCTTAAAATCATAAAGCTAAGATGTCATTCTTGACTCAACATTTTGAACCTATTAAGAATCAAGGAATTCATTGTTTTAAAGTAGCCTTAAAGGAGAAGTTCATTGGTGGTTGTTGTGGGAAGGTCATTCGGGGAAAAAAGAAATTTGGTAATCAAGAAAAGTTGTGACTAAGGTCAACATAGCCTAAATTTCAGGTAAAATCATGGAGTAAGTCAGGAATAACTGAATATTTGACAATAAACAAGAAAAGCCACAAAAGGCCAGAAATCAAGAGAACCAAAAATAACCAAATGTCATCTGAAAGAGGTTCCGGGGGTGGACTAAACATCGCAGTGTGATAATAAAAGAATAACAGTGCGTCATTATTCCATGGTGGATTTGTCTACATATGCTGTGTGGTATTTTGTGTTTCCTCTGCAACTGGGCCAACGTTCACTCTCAGACAGCTTTTAGGCAGCAGGGCAAATATTAGTCCTACCGTACTGGATCCTAGACCTGTGGATCTCTGAGAATGCTAGCAGCACACATACATCTCAAACAAAGTTGTCATGCGTTTATACCAGTGTATTTACAGTAAATGTATATGATTGGGTTGAGTCACTTGAACTTGAAATGTCACTGCATTTCTCTTTTTGCCTTACACCAGGCTGCCAACCCCAGATCAGACGCTGCAAATGCTTTGCAACATCAGGTTTATGAGTTGTTAATGTCTCTGTGTGGCTGTTTGGAATGAACTGGGTGCATTCTCCGGCTTGTGAACACAGCACAATGAGGTTTCAGTTGGGGCTTGCAACGGTTTCGTAAGTTTGACGGTGCTGCATGCCACAGCGTTGGAAAGTTGAGAGAAAATAAGCAACGTGTTAATCAGGGTTTGAGCTGACAGATGTGGGACTGTGATGGCGAAGCTGGTGTTTTTGGATTGAAGTTGCCAGTTGCTGATATTTAATGATTTTTATGAATTAGAATTTTGTGACCAATAAAAAAAATGAAAAACCTGTTTTCTTTACAGGAGAGAAAACCCCTCAGAAACAGCATTTAGATCATAGGAGCTATATAACTACTTTTGTGTGTGTTAGATCATTGGCCTTTAAATGAAAATTATGCCAGTGGTCCTTTAAACTACTTACCAGCAGCATGCAAATGTACTGTACTCACAATGGCAGCGCTAATATGCTGATGTTGTTGCTTGTACAATGTTCACCACCATCTTAGTTTAGCATGTTAGCAAGAGGCTGATTTTTGACCTGACGGTGGCGCTAGATGAAAAGTCAGGGGATCACAAAGGCGGTCGAAGATTGTCCTGGATATTTTACTGGTTAAGTAAAACTTTTTACCTTCTGGTGGTGCTATATGAAGATCAACAAAGTCATCAGGATTCATCCTCTGGGCCCCAGATTTCATGGCAATCCATCTAATACTTGTTTATTTGTTATATGTATTTAAGAGAAAAGAAACAAGGTATATAATTCATACACAGCACATTCTATTGGCAATCAGATGCACTGTTACTGTAGTTGTAACCAGAAAAGCTTGATATACTGAAAACAAGCAGCAGATTGTATTTACATACAAACACAGATCCTATAAATACTCTGTATGCCCACAGACAAAAGACAGTTAGAAAGGTGGAAAAAATGCCTTCTTTCAACATTCATTTCTTCGTTAGTTTTAACAAATGGAAAAGCATTTGAAATGAATGAATTATACTCTCTCTCAGCCTGAGGCTATTTTAGTACTAAAGACATTTCCTGTGTCCAGAGACAAAGGGGCTTTTATTACTCACCGAGCATGAATGGTATTTCCAAATGATACTAGAGACTCCTGACGTCATATTTCCATTTCATCTAATGAGACTGACGTAATAACCAAATGCACTTAATATTCTGGATAACATGGATTATGAACGTTAGCGTACAGGAGTAAGAAAAAAAACAGTGGCATTCAGGGGTGGAAGAAATGATAATAAACCATTTAATTCATTCCAACACTTAGTTCACTGTTCATTCAGTGACCATTTCTAGTAAAGAGGGTAGAAAGGTTGTATCATTTAAATACTCTCTATATAGTGAATTTATGCTTGTCTTTGATTCTGCTAATTTTTGCCAACTTGTGATCAGTAAATGATCACAAGTTGGCCTTGAAAAAGGCCATATATCTTAACATTTAAATGGCCTCCAGTAGCCTGTGCTTTTTGTTATTCATTATCTTGTCCACACAAATTTGAGTCCAATGTTGTCATTTGGGATTTTATTTCAGGTAACGATGACCCCCCTGCTTCTGCTGTGTGTGTCCTTGCCCCTCATCTCTGCAACAATATTGTTTAAAGACCATGAAGGTAAGTGTGTTTTTTTTATTAAATGGATTCTTATCTTCATCATCATTGTGCACAAATTAAATACTTGTCTCCAGACCATTGAAAACCTGACTATTTGAAGAAAATGAAAAATTATTATAAAATATATTACCTATTATGAAAGGTATTCATCAGTCCTGTCATATTTTTCTGTGTAATCTACTATCTGATTAGAACTTAGAACTGATGATGATGAACTCGCTAACTCACCATTTTTTTCCAAGTTATTTTCCTAGGCATTTACAGATATGTAGTTCTCCCCCCTGAAATGTGACATGTCATAGTGTCCTTGAGCAAGACACTAAACCCATCATTTTTACCTCTTTTATAGTAGTTCTGCCTCAATGGTTGTGCAAAGATTTATTAGGTTATCCTCATTAACAAATAAAAAGATTAACAAATTAACCTTGACCTATCTTTACGCATCTTTACCCTAGACATGGATGGCACGTTGCGTGTCAGCATCCCTTTGGAGATGCCTCTCCGTCCTCTCCTGGGCAGCAAGATAGTGATACCATGCTACTTTCAAGACAACACAGTCAATGACCCTGGAGCCCCAACCATTGCCCCGCTGTCTCACCGCATCAAATGGACCTACGTCACCAAGGAGAAAGTCACCACGATCCTTGTGGCATCAAAGGGAAAAGTTAATGTTGAGACAGAATATTTGGACAGAGTGACAATGATCAACTACCCACTGGTGCCCACTGATGCCACTCTGGAGATAACAGAGCTGAGGTCCAAAGATTCTGGCACTTACCGCTGCGAGGTGATAAACGGCATCGAGGACAACTATGACTCTGTGGACATCCAGGTTCAGGGTACGCCAAAGAAACGTTAACAGTTTCATTCAATTGAAGTCATTATATACTCACCACATGGTAGTCAAACTTCCATCAGTGTTTACCACCAAACATACAGAAGTTCTACCTTAAAGGTTCTCTCAAACTACAGGTTAACAGGATGAACTTTTAGTACCTCCAAAAGAAACTTCTACAAAACATCTTTAGCAGACAAATTCAAGTGCTGCTAAGCTTAAAACCCCCTGCCTCTGGAGACATCACCTCTGTTTGGTGATGGTTTGGATACAAACAAGTATCCATAGCTCACTCTCTCATAAAGTTCCTCTATGTCTATTGAAATTCAAGCACAATGTTGTTAGACAAGAGCTCACTGAAATTGGCAATATAGTGAATCCCAGTTCTTCTGTCTTCCGCTTGCTTTCTGTATCTCAGGTATTGTGTTCCATTACCGAGCCATCTCCACCCGCTACACCCTGACGTTTGAGAAGGCTAAGGCAGCCTGTATCCAGAACGGTGCCACCATCGCCACTCCAGCCCAGCTCCAGGCTGCTTATGATGATGGATACCACCAGTGTGATGCTGGATGGCTCTCTGATCAGACTGTTAGGTAGTGCACATCCATCCATCCATCCATCCATCCATCATTTCTAAACTGCTCATGCCTTTGAAGAAATCACAGTCACACCTACGAGCACGTTAAAGTTTTAATTCACCAAATCAGAATGTTTTTGGACTGTAGGAAGAAATCAGAGCATACAGAGAAAATCCACACAGAAAGGACAGGCTGGCCATGTTACAAAAAATAATAACAATAATGATACTTTTCTCAATTTAATTTTCCTCAATAACAATATAACAAATGTTATAACGAATTAGCAGTTGATATTTCTATTAAGATATAAGAGAAATGTTGTCCTATTCAGACGGATTGCATTTTTTGTGACCTGATGAGACAATCCAATGAATTTTTTGTTTTTGGTGTCTTTTCTAACTCTGACACTGATAACATTGAACAAACAAATGTCTTTAACATATCAACCGACATGCAATAAAAAATTAAAGAACAAAAATGTCCATCAGCTGTCTGACATCTCTCTGGACCTCTCAAGGTACCCCATCCAGGAGCCACGAGAGCGTTGCTATGGAGATAAGGAGACCTTCCCTGGCGTGAGAACCTATGGCGTGAGAGATGTCAACGAGACCTACGACGTGTACTGTTTTGCTGAGAAGATGTCAGGTACACTAATCTAATGCGGGTAGCTACAAAACCTACCTGACCCACATGAATCCTGCATACACAACTGTAGACTGTCATGTCAATGTGTTTGTCTCCCCTTCTCGCCTCCTAGGCAGAGTCTTCTACTCCATGTCTGTAGAGAAGTTTACCTTCTATGAAGCAGGAGATCAGTGTGTCAAACTTGGTGCCCGGCTTGCCTCAACCGGAGAGCTTTACCTGGCCTGGCAGGCTGGCATGGATGTGTGTAATGCTGGCTGGCTGGCAGACAGAAGTGTACGCTACCCCATCAATATCGCCAGGCCTCAGTGTGGAGGGGGGCTCCTGGGAGTGAGAACTGTCTACTTATTCCCCAACCAGACGGGATACCCCTACCCAGACTCTCGCTACGATGCTATCTGCTTCCAAGGTAAATCCTTCATGGAAACTTAAGGAAAAATGTACTCTGAGATACTTGGATGTATTTCTTCTTTAAGATTTCTTGGATCCTCGCTGATTGGAATCATCAACATTAACCCAGTTTTAGATAATAAGGCTTTAAAAACTGCCAATTTCATCAAGCAATTATGCAATCTCCCCAGATGGTGAGGATGATGGTGCCGTACCCGGGAGGACCACTCCTTTCCCAGACATCATCCGCTTAACACCCGCCCCTGCGCCGTACCCAGAACCCACCCGCTTCCCTGTGGATGAGGAGATCATCGGTGGAGAAGTCGACACCCTCTTCCCACTGCCTGTCCCACCCAGCGTGACAGACACGTATTCTAAAGTGACACCTGTGGTGCAAGAACCTGGACTCGATCTGACAGACATGGATACTGCCATGGCTCCCACAGGTAAGCTAGTTATGTACTTGATCAATTGCAAAACCCTTTGGAATTTGTTCAATATGTTTATGTTAAAAGTGCACTTTTAGAGCAGAATAATAAAAGGGCACAACAGCAAAAAACAGCAGCACAAGAACAACTGACTTGTGTGATGTGGCCTACAAATGTGTAGCCTTTGGCTAGGACTGAAATCTAGACGGCTGAACATTCACCTCTTCCCCAAATGAGATAGAGTCTTGGTGTTTATTCAAGTTCCTTCCTGCCTTTGGGGATACTAAAGAATACTGGTTGGGTCATTAATTTTTTTTATAAATGTTGGCTCCAAATTTTGACAGCATTTAAAAGATTAAAAATGAGACAGAAGAATCAATGTTGAACTGTGGAATAAACTTCTGAAGCAAACTGTTTAGTGCCAAAATGACTAATAAATGTTCAAATCATGAGTAAATGACAACAATCTGCATCTGGAAAAGTGCATAGTGAGGAAATAAAGATGAAAAATAAAAATTACATAAAATTTGAGTTTTTACCTTCCTTCTGTCCAAATGTCCCTCATTTCCCAGGTGTGGTGTTCCACTACAGACCCATCACCGGTCGGTACACTCTGACCTTTCTGGAAGCTAAGCAGGCCTGCAAGAATATTGGGGCGGTCATTGCTAGCTCCCAGCAACTGCAGGCAGCCTTTGAGAAAGGCCTGCACCAATGTGACGCTGGCTGGCTCCGCGATCAGACTGTCAGGTGAGATGGAGGCATGTTCAGAACAGAGACAGACCAATATAACAATATACATAATATGTTTCCCATAGTGTGCACTGAGTTTATTTTCCATTGATTCAGTTTGATTATATTTTGATTAGATTTTTTCCTCTACAAAAACTTCTTAACATGTTCTTGGACTAGGCTACATATTTCAGCAAAACTGCAACCCTAACATTGAGATCAAATAATTAAAACATTCTTTAAGACCATCGCAGTTCTCGTCTCAGTTGGAGGTATTTGTTGTATACAAATTTTAAACCAATCAAAACTCTAGTTTTATGTATTGTGTATAAAAAAACTGATTCCTGGAGGGATATCATGTCAAAGCAAAGCCTCAATATACTGTACCAACATCCTGTTTTATGTTCAGGTATCCCATCGTGTCACCCAGAGATAACTGTGCTGGTAATCTGCCACACCTCCCAGGAGTCAGATCCTATGGCCTGAGGCCAGCAAGCGAACATTACGATGTATTTTGTTACGTGGAACGTCTGCAAGGTGAGGAGCCCAGTCACACCCTGTGATCAAATTACTAGAATTTACATTTAAAGTGAACTTACATCCATCTATCTCTCTACCTGTATCTGACATGTTTGAGCTCTTCTGAATGTTTGTGAATGCCTCTGTCATTTCCCCAGGTGAGGTCTTCTTCACCAGTGACTATGACAGCTTCTCCTACGATGAGGCTGTGCAGCACTGTCAGAAACTCAACACCACCCTGGCCACCACTGGGCAGCTGTATGCTGCCTGGAAGCAAGGTCTTGACAAGTGTCGTCCAGGCTGGTTGATGGACCGCAGCGTCCGCTACCCCATCACAACCCCCAGGTCCCATTGTGGAGGTGGTCAGGTTGGGGTCCACATCATCTATGCCTACCCCAACCAGACAGGGTTTCCTGATGAGCACTCACGCTACGACGCCTACTGTTTTAAAGGTAGGAAATAGTTAGGTGTGGTTCCATTTAGATTTTAATGGATAAACTTACCTAAATAACAAATTGATATAGAGAAGTGTGTGATATGACCAAAAACATACTCATACTGTTTGGTGATGCATATACAGTACATTCCCCAAGCACGTGACACACTGAAACTTAAGTACAAACTGGTTCCTAAACACTCCTGCCAGCCAAATTCACCAACATTAGATGTTGTGCCTCTACTTTAATTTTGGCATGCTGTGAAATAAAGTGATTACAAACTAAAGATATAAATATGCACAGGTCCAGAATGATTTTTTGCTATAGTAAAAAACTATAAAATTTCACACACACACTGGCCGAGACCAAACCCGAACCAGCTTCTCATTAAATCATTGCTACAATGCAATGCTGTATATGAATTATACAGTATGTGTCCAGGTAGATATTACGCATGTACAATATAAATATTATGAAATATAATTAACAATTGGATAAATGTCAAAGGGTTAAAAGTAACAGATCAAATGGTTGAAACATTAAGCTTCTGTCAACCAACCTTAAAATTCAACTTTGTGAAAAAAAGTTTTAACAATATCCACTTTATGGTATTCTATAACATCCAGTTTAAAATGAATTCAAATTAATACATCTGGAGCTGGTGTCCATGAAGGGGTACTTGAGTTAATCTGACAGGGCTGTGGTTTTATATCAGACAAAAAATGTTGTGAACTGCTGCTGTATTGTAATAGTCTAGTAGTGTAATTTTCATGATGACACAATGGTGTGCATTATTTGATTAGATATTACTATAATAATATTATTAGTAGTAGTAGTAGTCCCTAATATATACAGTATATATATGTGTGTGTGTGTGTGTGTGTGTGTGTGTGTTTCCCAGTGCTGTTTATGTCAAAATTACAATTATTGCTCAACTTATCTGTTCTCTCTTTTTTAGCTGAAATTCCTGTTGTTCACGTTGAAACTGAAACCAGTGAGAATCTGACGACAGTGACAGTGGATGTGGATGTTATTAACAAGACAACAGTTACAATTGATCACTTTGCTCCCATGGGTAAGACATGAAATATGTTATCTTAAGTCCTTGCTATATTACCTTGGCTTGATCTTGCAGTTGAAATTGTTCTGAATTTTATCTTGAATTTGCCAAAAGTAGTTAATTAATATTATCATTGATATTTCTCAGCATCTTCATCATTTCAGTTTTGTTCGTTTGTTTTTATTTGAAACTACAGTATACTACAATGAAACTGAAACTGGGCTAAATATTACTGAAGTAGAGGAGCTTATCAACAAGACAACCATCACAACTCACGCTCCTACTGGTAAGACAGCCGGAAATAACAGTGTGAATGAAAAGTGGCTTTTACTCTCATTTTTAGTGGCTTACACTAAATAAAATGAATGTTTTTCTGCAAAAGTGGCCATAGTTATATAATTTCAATGAAGCTAAACATAGTTTTTCACTTTGCTAATCAAGATATAACAAAGTATCTAATGTACTCTTCTCTGGATTATTAATATTTCCCCCAGTGAGACCCATTTTACCTCCAGTCTCCAAATCCGGCTCTGGTTCAGCTGATCATTCAGCCACCTACAGTGCCAGTGGTGACGACTCTGGTTCAGGACCAAGCATTATCCTCAGCGGAGATACTGACTTCTTCTCTGGAGATCAGTCTGCCTCTGGAGCTCCGCAGGAGGCAGAAGGGGGAAGTGCTATGATTGACACATCTGGAGATGTTGGTAGTGCATCTGGATCTGGGGAGGGGCTTGACAGACAACACTCTGGCTTCAGTGCAATGGGATCAGGTTTTATCAGTGGAAGTGGGGACATCAGTGGTAGCAACAAAGTCTTCACGATCATCATGGTGGATGGGAAGATGGTGGAGGTGCCGAAAATTCACCAGAAACCCACTGAGCAGGAGTTAGGCCAGGGAGGCATTGATACCAGTGGGGCCATCTTGGAATCAAGCACGTCTGGATCAGGAGATTTGTCTGGGTCAGGCTCTGGTGAAATTTCTGGCATCTCATCAGTCGACCACAGTGCCATTGATCTAACACCCCAGCCGTCTGGTGAGCAGGAGGTATCTGGATATCGCATCTTTGAATCAGGGTTCCACAGTGGCTTTCCAAGTGGTTTTCCATCTGGTGTCTCAGGCAGTGGCTCTGCCTCTGGGGACTCTTTCCAGCATCACGGTGATGTCATTTACATAACAGACACTGATTTGATGGAAGTGACCGTACCGCCACTGGCCCGCCACCCTCAGCAGGGCCGGGGGGTGGTGGAGATAAGCGGGGAAGGAAGTGGGTCAGGGAGGCATAATGACTTCAGTGGCACTTTCTCAGGAAGTGGAGACCCTCATGAAAAAACTACCACTGAGAAGCTTTCTGTCACCCTACCACCTGGATCTCAGATCACTTACACTGCTTACACCAGCCCACCCACAACACCATCAGTGTCATTAGCAACCCCTGCTGTTGTGGCGCAGCCTTTAGTGAATGGTAAGTGGTTCACATGTTCAACATTTTGGGAAATACACTAATTTGTCCACCAAAAGTATCTTACCAATTTTGCTTGTGGTGCAGCACCACTGATGAACTGGAACTACATACTGTAATCAGTCATAATGTTCAAAGTAACGTCTCTTTCTCTCTGCTGTCAGCCCCTGCGAACCCTTGTGATCCAAACCCCTGCAGTTCAGGATTCTGCTCTGTGCAGGGAGATCTCGCTGTGTGTCAGTGTCCTAATGGTTTCACTGGTGAAGACTGTTTGACACGTGAGTTACCAAACTACCATAACAAACACCACATTGTTTTTAATGCCATTTAGCTGAAAAACTAGAACAACTTGGACACCAATATAGAAATTCCCTCTTATCCATATATTTTCATGCTTTTGTCCAAATGTACATGTTTGTGTGTTTAGCTGGGCTGGGCTGTGCCGAAGGCTGGTTGGAGTTCATGGGCAACTGTTATCTCCACATTACGAAGAGAGATACCTGGTCTGAGGCTGAGCAACACTGTCAAGAGAATAAAGCCCATTTGGTCAGCATCACTTCTGAGGAGGAGCAGAAGTTTGTCAACTGTGAGTAGCTGTGTGTACATAATCTGTACAGCATACAACACCCCCATCCTTAGACTGTCAATTTGAATAAGGACAAACTCCCCAAATACCATTGTAGATGATGTGATTATGCTTCTTTGCATCAAAATTCTTTGCAAAGAGTCAGCAATGCATCCATCTTTTCCTACACATGCTAATCCTATTCACGCCTAACCCCACCGCAGCGTGGACTTGATGAGAGGCAGGGTGTGCAGGGTGTGCCAACTGGGTTGGTTTCAAGGATCTTATTGCTGTGAGGTTACAGTGGGTAGCGCTGTAGGCCCTGTGCCTCAGGGAGGGATGATGCATCTTGTTACTACGATGGCCATAAGAGGGATACAAGCATAATATGACGGGGAGAGCATGTATGAGTTGTTGCAAAACTAAAATCTCTTTTTATTTGTAATGCAGCCAATGGTCAGGACTACCAGTGGATTGGACTTAATGACAAAGATGTGCAAAATGAGTTCCGCTGGACAGACGGCAGTCCTAGGGTGAGTTTAGTTGCTTAACAGCTATCTATCTGTCTTTTTAATGTACCGGTATTTATTGATTATCCTTGAAACTGCCTTAGATCTTTGAGAACTGGAGGCCCAACCAGCCAGATAACTACTTCAACTCTGGGGAGGACTGTGTGGTGATGATCTGGCAAGAGGGCGGACAGTGGAATGACGTGCCCTGCAACTACCACCTTCCGTTCACCTGCAAGACTGGACCTGGTAGGCTTACTGGGTTGGAATATGTGTCTGGCCAAGACATGCTTCTGGGAATTCTGTCTGCAGTAGTAGGAACATTTACTTGGGATGTGGAACATAGAGTTTGATTAATAAATAGTTTGGTTTACTGTGGTTGGAAAGCATCTCAGTAAGAGCCAATAACAGAGATAGCCCTGTGTAACACTAGCTACACATATGCTGAAATCACACTACATCTTCATGCACTGTAAGACATTAGATTGATAAAACAAGAATCTTGAGTGGGCTCATGGTACAAAAATGAACTCGTAACCTTGACCAAGACAAGCTTCGTAACCACCAACTGTCACTTGATGTCTGTCTATTGACAAACTGCTGTTTTTTATTTTAATTTGTTGTTGGTCTTCTTTTCAGTCATGTGCGGAGCTCCCCCTGAGGTCAAACACGGCCGGCCGATGGGCACTAGCAGAGAGCGCTACCCTGCAAACTCTATAGTCCGCTACCAGTGTGATGCAGGCTACACACAGCGCCACCGGCCTGTCGTACGCTGTCTGCCAGACGGACTGTGGGAGGAGCCACAAGTGGAATGCACAGAAGGTGAGCTTGCAGTAAAATGCTGAAATAGAGATTTACCATCCATAATTTTTTAAAAATGTATTAAGCCACTCACAATGAGAAAATTAATTAATGTAAACACGGTGATTGCATAGCTGAAGGCTCCTATTAAGTAATGAGAAAAGTTGAGTTATCTCAATGGAACACCAGTTATGTTAGTATGTAAGTAGCCATTACAACAAATGTGAAGGTCAACAAAGGTCCCTGGTCAAACTTAAAATGGGGACATTGCAGTTCATTGTCAATGCCTTAAATCCGAGGCTACTTGGGCGTCCCTAGTGCATGTTTTCAATCCACCTCACTCATTAACAAGAAATGTAGAAGAAATCGACAGCCCTGACCAATGTAGGGAGATTTAAACCTCGGAACAAACAGGGCATAAACTGTGAAGCATGGGAAACTCAGCATATTTTATACACAGAAAATACACCTCCTGCAGAGCTAACACTTCAACGTTACACTGATGAGGAACACATGGTAGCTTTTGAACTGGATCCTTTAGCCACCCCAGTCACTTCAGGGTAATTTATAAGTCTTTTGGCAACTCATGTTTACATGATGTCATCAGTATGCGTACCTTTTCTCCCCCAGTTGGCGCCAACAGTAACAGGCTACACAAAAGATCCCTCTGGAAAAGAAGTAAAGAGTTCAGCAGCCAACAGGAACAGAGGAAGCTGCTCTGAGCAGGAATGAAAGGACATACAACAGAAAGCCACAAAGGACCCCTCTTGTAAAGAAGCATGGACACCAATGCAAATGCCCGACCAAAAAGATAGCATTCCCTACCATGTATATATCCACACTAAAGCACATTTAGACAGTAATAGCGTAATTGACTGATGTTTTGGATCTTTGAGTGTCATTCTACACCTTCCAAAAGCAGTTTTCTATGTATTTATACAGTCTTAATTTATAGCTGTGACCCAGAAGTATTATCTCAATCCACAAGATAACATTTTCAGCAATCAGTTGCCAGCACTGCACACACAGTAAGGTAGATTCAATTAAATAGTGATATACGGGGCTTTAGAGTCACACAGTCCAAAACAGCCCAATAAAAGTGTTTTCCATAGCAGCTGGATTCTCTGAAGCAAAACACAATGTTACATAGACTTTTGCTATATTTTTAGGGTATTTTTCTAGATCTGTGTTTCTTAGTGTTGTTTTTTTCTTTTATTTGGACTACAATTGTGTGCTTCAGACTGGTGAAACAAACTGTTTCTTACATCATAGACAAAGACAGTGAATCTCAAACTTTTTTGTTGTGACCCATTAAAGTACAGCTGTGAGCACATGTTACCCTGCTTACTTACAACATGGAGAATGATGAAGTTAGGTTTTATTTCATTAAAATTATCAGAGTAAGCACTAAGGCTTACAAAAAATCAGTATTGCATAAAAGCGCAAATCGGTGTGAAAGCAGGGGCAAAAGACATGGCGATACACTGGTGCAGTACAAAACCATAACCAACCTTTCAATACAACAAATGATGTTTTCACAACCTTGAGTTTGAGAACCACTGTGCGATGACATCACCATGGTTATCAGACATACTGAAGTGATTGTGCTTTTCCATTTGATGATGAATAGAAATCCAAGTTTAAGATGCGATTAAAGTCAGTACAACACACCTGGATTGAAATAATCAGCACTCATGCACTTTTAGGAGTCTTCAGTCACTTCTGTGCTGATCATTTGAATCCTGTGCACCTTAAAAAAATCTTCATCTGTAGCTGACACATGGCAAGGAAACTATACTGAGTAACAAGTGAGATTTAGAGTATGACACTGAATTGGCTGGCTTCTTTGCAAAGAGAAGCCTCCAGGAAGATGCAGAAGTCACCTCATTGGGTCATCTGTTGCAAAAGATGTACACCCAGATTTGCAGGTTGGGGTTTTATATTTGTAACTTGTCTAGAGGAATCAATGAGCTCTGTCTGATGTGAGAATTGTGCTTTTAAAAGATTCAGTGTTTGCTGAATGAGCTCCTCACTGTAAATATTCTCTCTACAATTGTCTGAACAGCCGGATCTGTCAATAACTTACGATGAGCAGACAAGTTACTTGTTTGATTAACTCATCATCAACCTGTTTGTTTATTTGTTAGTTTAATTAACTGGTAAGTTGCAGTTGTGAGTTATTTTTCAAGTGGGTGTGACTAATTTTGACAGCCGGCTGAACATAAGAAGACAGAAATTGATCTTTGCGGGGGTTTCTGTCTGTGCTTTGTGTGACAGGGTTTTATCAACAGAAATGTACTTCATAAAAGTTGAGAAAGGACACAATTTTAAGGAAAAGAGCTGTGAAAGCTGTAGAAATGTATTAACAAAATAATGAGAAATAAGACGGAGGAGGTTATAATATTTTGACCATGACCTTTTAAGGTCAAGATTTGCTTCAACTCTAAGAGTGGATACTTGTGTCCATATCTGACTTCTCATATAACAATTCACAAACACTGAAACAGCAACCACATACACACGCAGTCAAAGGCTACTCTCATGGGCTGTTGAAGAAAATCAGTGAGCTAGAAAAAAGTGCTGGTCTGTATCAGTGTTTGTGATCTCTTGATTCTTCAACAAACTAACGTATCTTTTGGCAAATAAACCAAAATATGTTGGAACATATTTGTGCACACAGATGCTTCTGTTGTGACTTTGAATCCTGATGTGAACATACAGTATACTGTACTGTGCTGTGCCAAATAAAACTTGGAATCATCTGTCTCTGTGAAATTATTGTCCTAGTGTGCAAAATCACTTTTTACCCAGGAGTCATTGCCATTTTGTATTAAGTAACTGTACTGGGCTCTCATTTTCTGGAAACATAATTTTTCCCTGGAGCTGTTAAATTTGAGGTAAACTCTCTGAGCCAGAGGAACAAACCTGGCATTTAGTTTGTTTTTACCTTCCTGTGAAACTCAGCCATGAAAAAACAGAGTAAATAGCTCTTTCATCAGCCTCTACAGCGGCTACCTTCATCACTACAGTCACTGCAAACAGATCTGCTCTGTGTGTGTGTGTGTGTGTGCAACAGGGAGAGTAGCACTGTATGTATACAAGTATATGTGTGGTTGCATGTGTATATGCTTCTGTTTGATCACACTGTATGTGTGTGTGCATCAATCTGATGTGTATGTGGCGATGTGCATAGGTATGTAATCCATGTGTGTGTGTGGCAGTGTGTGTAGGCATTTAATCCCTGTGTGTACGCGCGTGTGTGTGTGTGTGTTTGCCCAGCAGGTGTAAATAGGACGTGTTTATAAAACCTATTGGCCATATAATCACTGGGACTTCTGTTCACACCCGGATGCAGGAGGGCGTAGCAACGTGTTTGACTCCATGCATCTAAAAGTGCATCGTGTCCAGACAGAGTGACGCTGTTTACATACGGAGGCTGTTCTGTGTGGGTCAGTAACCCATCTCACCTCTCTACCCTGGCATTCCTATCAGTAAGAAACTGTATCACACCTTGTGAGCACACCAACCAGCTTGGTTTATGAGTTCCTGAAGAAATCTGAGAAAGTGTTTCACAGGTATAAATCCAGCCATTAAAGGGCATCAAAAAAGATTTCCAGGGGTGGAAAGTAGCCAAGTACATATAATCAAGTACTGTACTTGAGTACATGTTTGAGCTACTTGTACTTTACTTGAGCGTTTCCATTTTATATAACTTTGTACTTCTACACCACTATATTTCAGGGGAAAATATTGTGCTTTTAACTGAACTACATTTATTTCAAAGCGTTACTAGTTACTAAGCAGATTCAGATTATCCATCCATCCACTGTCAACCGCTTATCCTGCGTACAGGGTCGCGGGGGCGCTGGAGCCAATCCCAGCTGACATCGGGCGCAAGGCGGGTACACCCAGGACAGGTCGCCAGTCCATCGCAGGGCCACACATAGACGAACAACCACTCACGCTCACACCTAAGGACAGTTTAGGGCAACCAATCAACCTAGCCTGCATGTTTTTGGATGGTGGGAGGAAGCCGGAGCACCCGGAGAGAACCCACGCAGACACGGGGAAAACATGCAAACTCCACACAGAAAGGCCGGGTCAACCAGGGTTCGAACCCACGACCTTCTTGCTGTGAGGCGACACCACCGTGCCGAGATTCAGATTAATTAACACAAAATATAATCAATTGATAAAGTATCATATATTATCATTGATTAAGCTATACGGCAATATGTAAAGTTTTAAAATCAACCCCAACTTTACCAACTAATTATTATACAATGATAAAATATTTATTATTAGTTGTTGCATGATGACTACTTTTATATTGATGCTAATACCGTTACTACAGTAACATTGTGACTGTAGGATTTAGCACCATGGTATTATTACTTTACTTTTTTCAGAATGGAATACTATGAAATTTGGTACAGACACTCATGGACCCCAGAAGATAAATCCTAATTACTTTGGTGAGATCCTGACTTTTCATGTAGCCATTTTCCAACACTTTTGTTCTAGGCCTACCAATCACCACATCATTGTTCAGTGAAACAAATGGTGGGACTGCTTCAGTTCATTACGGGGTACCTCAAAAACAATGCTGGATTCCTGTCAGCCTCGTGTCTATTTATTCATTAATGATGAATGCACCTAACATGTCATAATATCCTAATGTTAGCTTAGTTAGTTTGTGAGACTTTATTGTCCCTGCAGGGAAATTCCTTTTCACAGCATAGAGCGTACACACCTCATCACACACCAGTAACAGAAAGAATACACAAAGCACAAGACAACAGCATCATAACACATGTCTGTAAATGTGTCAAATGTTACGTTAAATGTTATCATCTCACCAGGGTAGGGTGTTTTTGTTAGTATGCTAATACATTAACCTTAGTATTATAACACGTTAACCTTAGCTAGACACTAACTGTAAGCATGTCAGTATGATAACTGAGAGCATTGGTTTAGTGTGTTGACACTGAGCTAAGATTAGTTTAAGATGTCTTAAAACTGCCACTGTTGTGACTACTGTTACACTCTGGTGTAACTCAGGCAAATTTTAAATGTTTTCAATCCAATTCATACTCACCCACCGAACTAATGTTTCTGCTATGTTGCAGGTTAGGACCACTAGCATGGCTATAGAGTTTTATCCTTGTTTAGACTTGTATTAAAAAAGTGTTGCCAGCATTTTGCTAAAAGGTCCATTGGGTGGTTTTAAGCAGCAAGCATAACACCACCCAGGCTCCTGTGGGAGTGTTGAAAACATGGCCCCTTCTATCTAATAAGTAATTAAATAATAAATGTGATGTATGAGCGTTCCTTGTGGGGATTAGGCACAGTTTTTACTTACCCAAAGGTGCCGGACTGGACTCTCTTTCACCCACTCCTCTCTTGAAGAGGCAACTCAGGTTTTATTTTATGGATGAAGGTGAGGAACTTCTTCACAGTCCAAGATAACAATAAAAGAAATTCACCCTTGCAGGATTGTCTACAAATGGTACAACTAATCTCCACCTACTCTCATGGTGATTCCAGGTGTGTCGAATAAGTGCAGAACCGCCAACTTCCTTCACTTCCTGCACACATTTCTGACAGTTCATTCTTACCCTCACATTGCAAGTTTTGCGCAGAATGTGGAAGTTTAAATGAAAGTTTTCCAACATCACCAAAATTATTTTAACAAATGTACCTCATATAAAAATGTCTTTACAGTAGTGTTTATTTGTAGAAAATAGTACAAATGCATAGACATGTATAATGAAAAACAAAAAAAGGTACATTTATGTAATGAAACACTGTTTCTCCTTCCACAATGGATGTAAACAAGGTACTTTAAATATTACAACAATACAGATACTCACTCATAACGTCTGCATTCTCCATCACAGAGCACTACCCTTAATCACCCAGAAAAATGAAAAAGAGATGCATTATACTTTATAAAATCAGAAACAGACATTTCAGGAGATGCACAAAGACTCCGGTATATTTCACAGTATTAGAAAGACAGAGAGAGTCTGTGGTGGAAGTAACCTACAATTAGTGAGTGTACAATCATGGAACAACTGAAACAATTTGACAGAAAAATAATGTATAATATTTAAATAAAACACTCTCCACTACCATCAACCATTATGGTGCCCTTTAGCAAGGCACTTAAGAAAAACATTTGTGGGTATAGTAAGATGTTCCTAAGATTTCATTTTTAAATGTTTGTTGTTGATTGACTGCAATGTTTTGAAAAGCACTGCCGAAAAAGACAATGTAAATGTTTTGTCGAATAAATACAGGGTACAGGATAGAGTTTAAAATGAATTGTCTTAAGAATTGAAGTCAGAGCTGGTGGTTGATCAAAGTCGAGGCTTTTCAGCCAAAATTCAAAACAGTTGCAAAGAATGTGAAGCAAAAGTAGCTTGATTTGACCTGTGCAGCAATGAATCCAAGAAGATGGGAAGAAACCCCTGTCCATATACTTTTATGTACATTTGTCTAAGAACAAGTGGCATCGCATGATGGATGTACATGGTTTAACAGTTGTTGACTGGTAGTAAAGTTCAATACCGAGACATCAGTTACAGTCTTATGAAGTTGGAGAGCAATTAACACAAATGACCTCAAAAATGAACAATCTCGCTAACTGCTGATTTGCTTCCAGGCTACAGCTAATGCTAGCCCCTCAAGCAGAGTTTGAAACCTGTATGATATTGAATGGTTTGTTTTTGTCTTTTGTTGAGCCAAATCATCTACCGATAACAGTAGACACCATATTTCAGGTACAGAGGGGGGAACCCAAAACTACGCACCCCTGGTTCTGGTGGGCCACAGTTTGCCCGTGCCTTGGTGATAGGATAACGGACGCTTCCATCAGCCAACCAGCCGGCATCACAGCGGTCCAATCCCATCAGCCTCCAGGCGGCGTACATCTGGCCCACTTTGGCAATTTGGCTTCCATCATTGGCACAAGCCTGGACTGCTTCTGTGAAGTTGAGCTTGGTCGGGTGCTTTAAGAAGTACACAGTCCCTAATGCAGGAGAGAATCATAAGTGAAGAGATTGTCGTGTAGTGATATATTAAGGTTTAAAATGTTTACACACACTCATACTGACCCTTGACAGATGCAGAAAAGCAGAAAGCATCATAGCGGTGGATGAGGCGATGTCGTTCTCCATAGCTACGCAAACCAGGAGCTAAGTCTGCACCCCCACAGCCATCACGGGGGACTGTTATTGGGTACTGCACTGTGCCATCAGCCAGCCAGCCAGCGTTACACCAGTCTAGCCCGTCCTCCCACGCTGCAAAGAGCTGCTCAAATGTAGCCAGAGTTGCGTCCTGATCCTGGCATACTTGTTGTGCCCCAAAGAAGTTAAAATGGTAGCGGCCTTTCTGAGAGTAGTAGGGGAACACCACCCCTATATAGGGAAGAGAAATGTATTATAACAGTTTGTTCTATGTATTTGTGGTTCATAAATAGCAGTATATAGGTAGGCCTGGTGGTTAAAGAGACTTCCCCATTACCCAACTGTCTCGTCCAAGCTGCCATACATTTGATGCTGTGTCTTGCATCTGAATGCGCAAGACATGGGCTATGATTATGCTAGGGCACAAGAGTATTTACTATCTCAAACGCCAAAAGTGTAGTTTTAATGGTGCATTAATAGAATTTTGGCCACTGTAATGCAGGAGAACTCCAAAACCAGGCTAACAGACACACAGCCCTGGCATATTATCAATTTACTAAGTTGTTATGCTA